GTTCCTACCTGGAATGTGCATGATGTTTCTGGCCTTGTTCCTCAAGAAAGACAGTTGGGCAAGTTTCAGAGAAAGGCAGCTGAGATGCTGAAGGGAGCAAGAGGTGATGGCAAGACAGGACCTGTGCGATATTAGGAGACAACAAAAGGGATGAGAGGTCAGATGGCTTATGGCTATAAAAGAAGGTTGCATATGAGGTCAGCAGTGAATCTCAGTACTGCTAGAACCAGGGAGCACATCAGTTGGGAGCACAGTCCCCTTCTCTGGACCCCAGTTTCTTCTTTTGTAGCCCACATTCTATAGTGTGTTCAACAGCACATCTGTCCCGCAAGAGCTCGCTGAAAGGAAGGTATTCTTTCACCAAGTAAGTTTGAAAATCTCTGCTTACCGTATCTTCCTCCAGTAGATTTGCCATTGGCCTTGATATGAAAAGCTTTTCCTTAAGGAAAACCTATTTAACTTCTGTGAATCTCAACCAGTATTTCCCAAACTCTTTTGACCATGGAACCCTTTGTTCATTTAGTGCCTATTAGGGCTTTTAGAAATGTTTTTGGGAAGACTGGACTCCAGGATCTTGGAGGTCCCTGGAAAGAAGTTAGTCCCAGACAGAGCAAGTGCTCCCTGACAGGGTGCAACTTGTTACTTTTAGAGCCCACACAGGAAGAACGTCATAGTTTGCAAGGAGGAGTTTATAGCTCCTTATGGGCGAAGGCAGGTTTATCAAAGGTAATTGGGAGGTGAGGTTCTCAGTCCAAAGGAAAGCCACTGCACTGCACACAGTGCTTTTTAGTGCTGCTATTGAGACCCAGGGCTTCGTGTTAGGGCTCAGATTGTTCTATCAGAACATCATATGCACCATCAAATGAAAAAGTATGTAAAGCGGCTCATTTAAGTTTTGGCTGAATTGAGCTGATAGTTCTGCATGATTTTTTTTTTTTTTTTAATTATAGACAATTGGAAAACACTTTCCTGGGGCTTTTGGGCCAGTCACTTTCCATTATTTAAATTTTGAGGGCATGTCCATTAAGACAATATCATCTACTTTCTATAGCTTGTCTCCAAAAACCCGGCTCAGTCTTCAGGTTCAACAGTTCTGTAGACTTGTGTGCAAGTCCTGTTTTTTCTTTCTCTAGAAACCTTACACTATTTTGAAAAATGTTTTATACATGCACCTCCCCATCCCCTGAGCTTCTGGCCGACTGTTCCTCCTCTCTCTTACTTCTCCACCTCACCGAGCATGTGTGTATAGCCTCAGTGTCCTTCCAACATTGTAAAACGCTTTCCTGTTATTTATTGGACTTCAGGGACAGCAAATGAATGTGATAGATTGAAAAACGAAAGCTTGAATAGCTTTCTTGCTCTCTGACACATTTTAAGCCTGACTTTCTTTTTTAATGTTTATTTATTTTTGAGAGAGAGACAGAGACAGAGAAGAAGTGGGGGAGGGGCAGAGAGAGAGGGAGACACAGAATTCCAAGCAGGCTCCAGGCTCTGAGCTGTCAGTGCAGAGCCCGATGCAGGGCTCAAACTCCCAAACCGTGAGATCATGTCCTGAGCCAAAGTCAGACGCTTAAACGACTGAGCCACCCAGGCGTCCCTGGCCTCTGTTTCTTTTACTTCATCTTTCCCATTTTGCTAGGTAGTGTCCTCACTCTTCACTCTGCTTTGTGCAGGGATGGGGAGGGAGAGGGGGAGGAGGGAGGGTCATCCTGTATTGCCTGTTTCAGTGGGCTCCCTTGCCTGTGGCTCCTGGTTGGCACCAGCTAATGGAGAGGCATCAGCTGGAGATTTTAGGAGAATGAAGTTTGGGTATTTATCGCCCCACCTGCTGTGAGGCCACCCCACCTCCCACCCCCACCCCCACCTCCCTTGTCATGTTCAGGATGCTGCCTCCCTCGGATTCCTCTTCAGGCCTGGGCATGGCCTCTGTGGCTACTAGCCCTGGAGTGCTATACCTCCTTGTTCATTTCCTTAAGCCCTGCCCACTTTTTGCAAATAGCTCTTTTATTAAACTCTTCTCACATTTCCCAGTTGGAGTGTGGCATCTGTTTCCTGCAGAGACAGAGATTCTGACTGAAATCCCCACTTTTCTTTAACCTTCTCTGTCTTTTTGCTGTCCAGCCAATAGCACTGTTCAGTAGAGCCCAGCTCAGGTTCACCCTCAAGAAGCCTCTCCATTCCACATGAATCTCTTCTTGTGATGTCCTGGCTCTTATATTCTGCCCTATTTATAAGCACCTAAAAATGCTGTTTTGTATGTGGACTTAAATGCCCTAAGACTGATGTTCTTTATGCTTACAGCTGATGCTTCATGGGTGTGCAAGAAGGCTGGCTACTGTGGGCCAGTTATCAAACTTTTATAGAGTGCTTCCAGACATCTCAAGCAGGTTACAGAGTTAGGAGGTGGGTACTATTATTATCTCCATTTTATAAGTGCAGATGCTGACACAGAAAAGTTCACTAGTGTGCCCAGAACCCATAGTGAGTTCTGGAACTAGGATTTGAACCTAGGCAGTTTAGCTCCAGAATCCATGCTCTTAACACTACACTAAGCCACCTCTCAAAGTGTTTGAATTAAATGTTTTGAATTATCACTTATTTAAAATTCAGATTCCACTTTACAATGTGCATTTCTAATATCTCTTGAGAAAATGGACTGTCTGACTATTAGGACCCGTAGGCCATTGCAACACTGGGCCAGAGGTAAGTGGAAGCTGCCCTGTTCAGCTATGGGGGTGCTCTCCAGCTTTTGAGAGTCTCCACCCATCCTGGTCCTGCCTTCATGCTCCTTCCAGGCATCTGCACGAGAGTGATTTTTGTGTGTGGCCTTTTGGAAACCACTCACATGCCCTGAGTCTTTATCCCACACAAACTCCGGTTTCCCCAGGTAGATAAGGTTTGAGGAGGGTAGCATCAGTATTTCAGGCTTCTCATAACACCTAGCACAGACTAGGTCGTACCTGATTAAAAAAAAGAAAATCTGTGAGTTTGGAGAAAACAATGTGCTCAAGTTCACCAAGTTAGCTAAGCAAGGTGATTCAGCAAGGACATGGCGGGCATCCTTGCACTTGGGTTGGGTTTAATCCCTTAAAACAGTTTGCCTATAAAGCCTAACAAGTAAAATCTCTCATATTCCTACAACATAGCTGCTGATGTCAATATTGCTACTACTACTGACTAAAGAATATCAGCTTCACCTCCGGCCCCAGTGGCTTGAAGTTTGTGGCAGAGAAGATAGCCACTACTTGCGAGAGCTGTCGGGGAGGGGAGAGCAAGAAGGTAAAGGGAGGTTTCGAAGAAGTTGAGAACATAGGGGATCTTAGTGCCGATGGACATGAGTCCCAGAAGGCACAGAGATTTGGAAATTGGGCAGGGGGAACTGGAGGCCGAGAAGGGATGTGCAGAGCCATCTTGAGAGCAGGAGTGATCAGGAGTGACCTTGGGTGACAGGTGTGAAAAGGAGTGCAGGGCATGTTGGCCTTGTCCTGATGCTCTCCAAGGCAGAGTGTTGTGGCGAGACTGTACGCGCCGAAGGAGAGGTGGGTATGGGGGAAGGGAAAGGCTTTCTCAGAAGCACACAGACCTCTGGGCCCCTCTCCCTTCCTCTTTCCTCCGGGAGCAAATGGTGGATGTGTGACGTACAGAAGTACCTGCTCAAAGGCAGGTGCCACTGTGACTGTGCAGCAGAAGACCCCGGGCAGGGTGATGCTTTTTACATTTGTGAATGCACACAAGATCTGGAAGGTTTCAGTGGAGTTTGGATGTTGCTATAAAACACAGCTACGAAGCTTGCTTCGGTCGTGTTAAGAGCATATCTTATCTTTTTCAATGTGCTGCTCTATCCAGAGCAGCACATTGAAACTTGTCTCTGATCACAAGTTTTCTTATTACCTGTCATTATAGTTTCACCTGTCCTTATGGGACCAAAGGATCTCAAGAAATAGATGCCAATTTAAGAAAATGAGTCATCTTTCCTAAGACCGGGGGCTGGTGCATTTATCATGGTATAATGGACATACGTGCTGAGTTTGCAGATGTCTCTTTGGTGTAATGCCCGAGGAGAGGGGGCCTCACAAACCCTTCCTCATGAGCAAGAAACACTGTTGGTGGTTGGGGGCCCAGAGCTGGCCAAGACTTGGGGCTCTTAGTACTTGCCGAGCGGGGTCAGGTGCCTGACCTTGGGCAGGCAAGCCAGGGACTTTCCCATCAGCAGAGGTCCACTGTGGTGGGTCACGCTTGTTCCCTCCCCTTGGGGTTTCATGGAAAAGTACAGAATTTGAAGATCTCTTCAACGTCTCTTGCATCGGCCTCTATGGATTTGGGGAGGGGAGTCATAGCAAAAGTTAAGAGTAGAAATCCCCATCTCCCAAGAGCAGGGAGCTTTCAGGAAAAAAAAAAAAAAAAAAAAGATACTTAAACCCTGAAAATGTGCCCAACAGTGAGCAGTGTTCCTGACTCTCCACCTTTCTCACTTCCAGGGCTGTGTCAGGGTGTCAGGAAGGTCACCTTGAGAAGTTTCTGTGATGCCCCCAAAAGTTTAAGCTAGGGTTGAACCTTCCCACCTCCTGCCCCCTCCATGGCCCTTCTGCCTCCAACCACACTTGGCATAAGACCAGTGCTCACTGCCAGCTCTACCACTTACTAGTTCGTTGTGTGACCTTGGGCGAGTTATATACCCTCCCTTGTGCCTTAGTTCCTTCATCTGTCAAAAGGAATCATCATGGTACCCATCTTGTAGGGCTGCTATAAGAATCCAGCGAATTCAACAGTGCCTGGCATGTAATAAGATCTATCTTAAGTGTTAGTTGTGGGGCTTGCTTGGATGACAGTGACAGTGGGGCCCTGACCAGCCACCAAGTCACCTTTAAGTAAGATGTAACCAGGTTTGCCCTGATGCTTCCCTGTAAGCAGACGTTGGTAATCGAAGTCGGCCTGACCTGGCCTCCGCACAGCCCTTGTTTACGTCTCTTTCCACACTCTCCAATCTTCTGGTTCTCAAGGAGCTGAGATCCCCACTGGATTGGCCAGCCCCAGACCAGAGCGAGCCCGAACCAGACCCCAGAGGTCTCCATCACTGACCACATACCGTGTGTATGTTGTTATTCAGTTTCCTTTCGTGGCTAAGGGATGGACACCTAAGTACTGCTTCTTTTTATAGAAGGCTCTGACTAGCATATTTGCTGATTAAAAGGGAGGCTTCACAGAACACTCATTTTGAAGAGCATGGTAATAGTTACGAACGAGGACTATTTCAGGCCTTTACTGCAAAATGTTTACTTCCTAAAATAAAGAGGGCATGCATTCTGTTTACTTCCTCCTAATGAGAATTCATCAGGAGTTTGAAGGCTGTTTTTGTGCCCCCTCTCTCTTCCCCCACGTTTCAGCCTTCCCCGTCCAAGAAGCAGCTGACCGGTGCTACCATTAAAGTTGGCATTTGACTTTGAAAGGAATGCTCTGCCACTCTCCCATTAGAACTGTAGCAAGCTGCCTTCGTTGACCAAACATATATCAGAACCTTTAATGTCTTTCAAATCCTGTCACTGATTCCTCTCTCCTCGGGGAAGGTGTTCCTTGACCCCATCCTACTGTGTAAAATAATTCCTCCTCTCTGCTCTTTCTCTACTGGCTCGTGCCTTCATCGCTGTGCCTATTGCACGACTTTGACATTTAACGACTACTTAGTAGTACCTATTATATGCCAGGCACGGTGCTAGATCCTAAAGATCTAACTACAAATGGGATTTGAGAACAGTGTTATCTGATAGAACTTTCAGTGGTGATGGAAGTGTTCTATATCTGCACTATCCGCTATGGTAGTCACTAGGCACATGTGGCTATTGAGCACCTGCTGTGTGGCTAGTACCACTGAGCAACCAAATGTGTGATCTTGTTCATTTAAATTCACATCGAAATAGTTAGGTGTGACTAGCGACTACTCTATTGGACAACGTGGCTCAAGATCATAGCCCCGTAAAAACAAAGCCCTTCTGTTTATCACTGTGCTCCCAGCACCCAAAACAGTGCCTGGGAGCTGGTATTAAGGAAGGAGGGAAGGGAGAGGGGAATGGGCGGAGAGAGGGAAAGAGATAAGGTCTCTGTCCTCACAGAGTTCAAGATATAGTAGGGACCTATTTGTCTACAGATCTTGAAGTCCAGAAGGCAGGGATTGTCTTTTCGTTGCCTGTACCCTTAAACCTATGGTCTAGAACCGTATCAAGGCCGCTGGAGGTGCTCAAGAAATGTAAGTATAGGGGCGCTTAGGTGGCTCAGTCGGTTGAGTGTCCGACTTCAGCTCAGGTCATGATCTCACAATTCACAAGTTTGAGCCCCACGTTGGGCTCTGTGCTGACAGCTCAGAGCCTGATGCCTGCTTCAGATTCTGTGTCTCCCTCTCTCTCTGTCCCTCCCCTGCTCATGTGCTCACTCTTGTTCTCTCTCTCTCTCTCTCTCTCTGTCTCTCAAAAATAAATAAAGACATTAAAAAAAAAAAAAAGAAATGTAAATTCAATTGAACCAGATGCTGAAACAGTGGAAGGGTGGCAATGATGGGAATACTAGTCACCGTAGTGGTTATTGCTGTTAACAGGAGAAAACGGCGTAAGCGTGTGCTCTGTCTGACAAGCGGTGTTGGTGCCTCGCTGTCGTATCCCCTCCAGACCTTCTAAGCCAGCAGGCAAATCTGACTCTTCTGGCCTGTCCTCACCTTTGGCTCCCTGCGACTTGGACCCCCAGCCACATACCAATTAAACCTTTATGGAGAGAAAGGAGGAAGATGATAGCACGGCCTCCCTGGGGGCCTCTCCCTGCTCGGAAGCTGCCTTTGTGGCACCACAGCATTCTGGCCTTCCTCTTCCTCTCCTTCCCTTCCTGGCAGCCAGACTGGTCGGCCGATCATTCAGCGGTCCCATTGACCGCAACAGCCTATGGCAGAAAGAGCGCTGACTTCAGAGTTAGACCCCTTAGATTCAAAAGTTAGCTGTACGATGGACTGCCTGTGTGAACGTGGGCCACTTATAACACTCGTAGACCTTCAGTTTCCTCGTCCGTAAAATGGCGGTAACAATGCATTTCCCGTAAATTTGCTGTGAAGATTAAGTGAGATGTTGTCTGTAAGTACCTAGCACAACGCTTGGTGTTCAGAAACTGTTAGCTCTCTCTTCCCTCTAAGAACATACCTACATACACACATTCCTTAACATATCACTAGTATGAATGTAAAGCCAATTTGGGGTGCTCGAGTTTTAATTACACTTCACCCTTTTGGATTCTCCTATGTACATTTTCCACTATTAAAAGATTAAATTACTAAGATAATAAGCTAAATAGTTTACCCTTCACCTGGAAAACTGGTTTAATTATTATAATAAAGGTAAGCCTCGTCTGAGTGCAGCATAGTGGAAACCCCATTCACAAGTAAATAAAAGTCAAGTCTTCTTTTTTTCTCCACTGCAAATCAAGCAAACCATGTAATTAAGCCAAACAAACAGAGAAAGAGGAATGAAACAATGAAAACCAGTCAGTAAAAGGCTGGAAAGTAAGTAATTAGGGTTAATTTCTATTCCACTGTGCACTGTCTTTGTTGTCCTGGTAGAACGGGCAACAATTGACTCACATAAATGATCACTGTAGGACAGCCCTGCGAGGGAGCTTATCTATGGCTCTCTACGGCTACCATGTTGTCCCTCCCCCCCCTCAAAACAGCATGAACATCAAACAGCCCTTCAGCAAACTTAGTCCTTGAGGAAGCCACACCGTACCACACAACTGCAGTTAGTTTTGATTACTATCTTGCAAGATTATATTTGAGGAGTAACAAAAATGCTAGTGTTTTGCGGTGTTTTTTTTTTCTTTTTTTGGTTTTTTTTTATTTTATTTTTTTTTTTTATTTTACAGTGAAGGCAGCCAATGTCATAGCATTTACGGCAACATCTGAGATTTAATGAAGAATTCTAGACCCTTTCAGATGAATGCTGGACAGGCTCAGTTCTAGTCTCAGTTCTGCCATCAGTTAGCTGTGTGCACTAGGAAAGCTCTTTAGGCTTCATTTTCCTCATCTGTCAACTGACGGGGCTGGGAGTGTAGCTGTGCACTATATAATCTCTCGTATGGCATATCTTTGTGACACGATACTGTAGTTACTCTGAATGTGCAATTGTAGTGTAGATCACCTGCAGATGTTTCTTTAAAAAATATTTATAACTGATACAGACTAGGTTATTGGACAACTTCCGTGTTCGCATTGAAAGGCAGCTTAGGAGTTACAGTCCATTTGCAGGCACGGGAAGTAAAGAGATGGGTTATCTTCATCTGGGGGTGGAGAATTATTTTCATGTTTCCCTTTTCCCTTTTTAGAACCTTAATGACTTTGCAAAGTGTATTCATACAGGGGCGCCTGGGTGGCTCAGTCAGTTAAGTGTCCGACTTCAGTTCAGGTCATGATCACACAGTTCGTGAGTTCAAGCCCCGCATCAGGCTCTGTGCTGACAGCTCAGAGCCTGGAGCCTGTTTGGGATTCTGTGTCTCCCTCTCTCTCTCTGCCCCTCTCTCGCTCACACTCTGTCTCTGTCTCTCAAAAATAAATAAATATTAAAAAAAAAATTTTTTTTAAACAACAAAGTTTATTCATGCAATAAATACGTATGACATTCCCTGTATGGCCTAAAGCAGGGTGCTGAGCGGTGTGGAGTTTAAGATGAGAGCACGGCCCTGTCCACAGGGGCTCAAAGGCCAGAACAAGAGATCAACAAAGCGCCCTAAAGCCCTGCCCTCGAAGTCAGTGATGTTCTCCCCGGGGGGCTGGAGTCTTGGTGACTGAGTTTTCCAGGCAGACAGGGTGTTGGAACACATGGCACATTCAGGGCACCGCAAGTTGCTAAGTAGTGTGGTTTTCGTGTGTGTGTGTGTGTGTGTGTGTGTGTGTGTGTGTGTGAGACAGGAGGTGTGGCTCACAAAAGGCCTTATATGTCAAATCAAGGGCTTTATTCTGGAAGCAGTATAGAGCTGCTGAAGTCTTAAATAAGAGGAAGGGCCTGATTGGATTCTCAGGGCCTTGGTAAAAGTGGAACCTTTCTTTTTAGAATTTGTCCACTTTGGCTTTTAGCGCCTCAGCCACACATCTCCAAAGAGAAGCATTACCTCTTCTGGAATAGGACCTCGAATTCTTCTCTTTTACCCTGTGTGTGATTTTTATTAAATATTAGAGATATTGCCTCAATGTAAAAGCATCTACCCAGTGTAAGAAAGTCAAGGATGTGATGCAATGTGCATATTTTATCTATTTTAGCGCAAGGAGATATTTATCACTCAACAAAGTTATGTTGAGTAGCTACTATGTTAACATGCTATGTTAGTAAAAACGGTCCTATAATAACTAGTTGCTGTTCCCTTGAGGGGACTCTTCCTTCTCTCTGCTGGCATTATTCTACCAATGCCGCTCAGAGGATGCAGGAGGCCAGGACCAGGTTGGCCTGGAAGACAGGCCAGAATTTCAGGTGTGGTGACGCTCAGCATTATATCTGGGAACTTCAGGACTCAGGTTTCGGCTTGCAGTTCTCCCGGCCCCTCTGTGCACAATCCAGCTGGGCCCCTAACCTGTCCTCCAGCAGAAAAGGGCACACTCAGGTGCCTCAGGGACCACACAGGTAGTATGAACACAAAGGGTGGGTGGTCGGGGACTGTATCCCATCTCAAAGGGGTGACCGCTGCCCGGCTCCAGCTGATGGTTGCCAAGCTAGAATTGGGCCCAATGATAACAAGATCTAACTTCTCAGAAGAAGACGGAAATCCCTATTGGTATGTGAAATCTTTCAATTTTGTGTAAATAGGGGAGGCGAAATCTTGTCGTGACCCCTGGTAGAACTCGAGTATTTATCACCTGACTACTTATAAGCCCTGCAGGTATGGACCTCCTCTGGCCTTTCCCACCCTGTGCTGTCCTCACACGGGGTTCACAGGGGGCACCCCGTGAAAGCACTTGCATTCGGAGGCCCCACCTCCCCAGCATTCACGGAGGCTGTGCTGCGCCTCAAGCACTGTGCTGGGGTTTTGATGCTGAAAGAAGGGCAGAGATTTGAAAAATGCAGTCCCTTGTGTGGAACACACAGGTAAACAGACCATTTGTGACACGCTGGTCAAAGGAGGGTATGTAGTGTTCTGGAAGTTCAGGGACTGCTGTGAGGGAACAGCCCAGCAGGGACCAGAGAGGGCATTGAGGAATTCATCTCCGACACCCTTCTAGACTATCTGCGGTGACTTGACTGAGTCATGCTGACCATCAGCAGGTGGCCTTTCAGGTGATTCCAGAAAAGCTTAGTGGACTCAAGAATTATAGAAGCAGAGTGCCGAAGGTCAAATGGACCAGAACATGACACAGAGACTCTTCCAGTGTTAGATGGCAATAAAACAAATCAAGAGGATTCATTTGTATTTCTGATGGCTTTTGTAAAATAAGTTTTTCTTTTGCAATATGTGTGAGAGGTGTAGAGGCAAAAACTCCTGGGGTATAACTTTAGTGTTCCTGTTTATTACCCACATGCCAGGGCCACCATAAGATTTCTGCCAAAGGCCGCAGCATAGGCTTCACACAGATGAGAGCCGTATATGAGAGATGAAGGGACTCTAGCCTCACACCTGGAATGAGGGGAACAAACAAAAACATGGAAACCAGCTAGCTACTCTCAACCAGATTATTACACAAAGCGTGACTTGCTTTGCAGAGAGAAAAGAAGGCTCTTGAATTTCCCTGGCATCTGAGTTTGCCAACCTTTAAAAACTAAAAACCCTTTCTACTTTGTGTTGGCTTCCATGCACTTCAGAACGTCAGTTCTCCTCTCAAGAGAAGGTGCGTGGTTTCCCACACAGCCCTGGCACCTCTTGGGGCCACAGAGTGAGTCAAAATCAGTGACCGGTGGTGTAGGTGGCACAGTATTAGTTAACAGTGTACTTGTTGAGCACAATGTCTGTGGGAACAGTTGGTGCAAACTCTGGTTAAGATCTTTCCAGTGGGTTCAGCTATA